ATATATATATATATATATATATATATATATATATATATATATATATATATATATATATATATATATATATATATATATATATATATATATATAAAAATATATATATATATATATATATATATATATATATATATATATATATATATATATATATATATATATATATATATATATATATATATATATATATATATATATATATTGATATATATATATATTGATATATATATATATATTGATATATATATATATATTGATATATTGATATATTGATATACAAAATCTAACTGGAATGCGCGGCAATGATTACTGTTTAGAAAAAGAGTTGATACTGTATATTGAATGCCTCTTGCAAATGGTGGAAACTTAATTTGGTTCCACCCTGTTCTAATTCTGGACACACTCTAATATTTGTTGAGGAATTTTATTTAGTATAAAACTCAAGCAATTGTTTAGAGCAATTGTCGAAAGAAAAGAAAAATCTCAATAATTAGTGCCCCCTGTTGCATCCCCCTTTAGAATTTTATGCCGCCTTAGCGTTTACCGTTTAAATATTAGTTCTGGAACTTTCTGGAACTTAAATATATTTGTCGTGCAAATAGTGAAGTAAACTAGCAAATAGCTATGGAACTGCATGATACAGCCAGAATTCCTAGATTTAACGACCGTGTGTAGAAAGACTGTTATATAAAAGGCCGTATTACGCGAGGCAATTTTTTCATAGCGCCCTAAAACTAAAAGAAGTCACAGCAACATTGTGAGCATGTGGGATAAAATTTTCCATATGAACGCTTTATCCCACCTGACTGGGATGAACATTTTTCTCCGATTTTGACCTATCATAATGTATATTTTGAACGGCATAGTTAGAAATTCAAAATACAAACAAAAAATAAACATTAACACTTTAACAGGCCTAAAATCTAAATAGACACTGTTAAAGTCGTAATCCAAGGTGCAGTTTGTTTAAATACAACAAAGGATATTTATTTTGAAGACGCCATGTTTACAATATATATATGTATGGGATAAAAACAGTCATGAACACATATTTCACCCCACTCAGTTGAGCTTGCCCCTCACAGCCGCATGCCCTTAATAAATAATGTGGCTATCATTTAGTCATACAAACAGGCAGGGACAAGGATTGACTTGATATTTGTAAATCACATTCCGCGGAATGCAACATTATTATTTAAAGTCCAAGTTTCCGAAGTACGACATTTTATACATAAATTTGAAAACGTAGAACTTGCATGATTGCCAGAACAGGAAGGGGTTGAATGATGGATTGAGATGGATAGGGATTCAACTACCTGAAAAATTCAAGTAAATCGTCGACGTTTCGAGCGAAGGCCCTTTGTTGGGAAGGGCCTTCGATGGGCCGGTCTTCGCTCGAAACGGCGAAATTTTACTTGTATTGTTCAAATAGTTGAATCCGTGTCCATTTGAATTTTCTGGTGTTTTTGGTACTACCTACGCTGGCACAGATCGTCGAATGATGGATGCCGATGGGTTCTTGATAAATGTGCAATTAACCCTTTTGTGCTGCTTTTCTCTGATGTTGAGTACTATACATAAATGTTGCCGAGGTGACACCGTAGGGGTCGTCATTGAAGTCATTCTATTTTTTTCCTTGACAAGAAAAATCGCTACATCAGCAGGTGGTGCATGCCTGTTTACTCATCCAGATCAGAGCTCATTGAAATCGATAGAAATACCGTTATCACTATTTTAACACTGCCTGCGAAATATTCTTTATTGTACTGTACAAATACAAAATCGACAGCCAATATTTGGCCTATGTGTTTACTCGTTTTCTGTGGAGTTATAACGGAGAGATTCTTAGGCCATGCGATCAGAGCATATATAGGTGCATACTTGGTATATTTCTGACGGTCGTCATGACAACGCTTGCACTGCTATACAAATAGCCCCGGCATGTAGCTGAATCGTGTTTTGAAAAATCTCGCGTGGGCCGCTTCAGATATTGCAATTATCACAAAAGGCAGAAATATATCGACTGCTTCGCCGTTGTTCGTAGTGTACCTTTGTGGCGTTTCTACGTGGCTGTATCATGTTTCAATTTCGACCTTATCACGTTGATTTCCGGGTGATAAATTGGTATTATTAAATAATAACCAAAGTAGCGATGAACGAATGATGCTTGAATGAAAATATCTCGCATCCACATCCGGTAAGCAACACAACTGTATCAATAGCATCATTGATGAGCAGTCCGTGTAGAACATGGTGTACTAGCCACTTGAAAACTGATTGGTTTTTCTGGCCGAGCGAGCTTGTGATTATCGTTCTTCAACTTTCGTACATGAGATGGTAAATGTCTGCGATGTGGCACAATGGTTTCGCGACGCAACTTCGGATAAACGGCTGGAAGCCCTATGTCGCCTCATAGATTGCTGTATGCCATTGGAATTACGATTTCTGAATACGTACTTGGACGAATTGCTGAGACGAAACTTGATTGTGAATCAACACTCGGACTCGAGTATGCCCGAACTACACGAAATCACCGATTCCACTTGCCGTCGGCAACTGTGCTTAATTCTGACGCGGCTGAAATCGGCCAACGTTCTAGCCGGTTGTATATATGATATTTTGATACAATACAATTTTAGTGAATTTTTCTCTCGCGTTATGGTAATGGAAGAAGAGTTAGTCGACGAGATTTTATTATTATTCACCTTAGCCGCAAATCATCCGGCTATGACTTTTTCCCAACGTCGCAATCTGCACCAAAGACTCGTAGACCTACGTGAAACTATAGAAAAATCTTTCAAGGTATCAATTGTACAATTTTTTAAACAATACAGCTTTTCATTCAATTTCATGCAAATTTTAAAGCACCAGCGTTTGTTGGTATAATTTTATAGCCCACTGGAATAGCTTATTTTGACGAAGAAGGGTTGTAATAATAAATATCTTTCGTACAGGAAGGGCATATGGCGAATATATACATGAAATCACGCAAGCTCGTATCGTGTTACTTTCGCTTTGTGTGTGTATGTGTGTTCGCGGGTATTGTATAATCCCTATATTATTTAAAATATTTAACTGTTGCAAATTTCGTTTGTCAATATGCGTCTCTCAGCTGTATTGTCATTGTAAGAAATATTATTTGAATAAGGATAACGAGAATTGAACGATTTCTCTTTGCACCCTAAGCGAACGCATGAAATCTTGGACTTAGCCCCGTAGATGAAAATAAATGCATCAATGTTGAAAATTAAATAATATTTTAGAAATTTACAATGTTGCATCTCAACTATTATCATAAATTTGTAATCTAGGGCTTTCGTTTAAGTAACTTTATCAGACAGGTTGCACTCGAGTTGTGACAATGCTGCCTTTCATGCTTTCCTATAGTGTTACCATGCTACTGATGTTTGTTCGCAACACAATCAAGAATATATATGCAAGCCTCTTGAAAAATCAAGCACTCGAGAAGTGACGAACTTGAGAGACCAACTGCAGCCAACGGCTGAAACTCTGAAAGCCGAATTAAATATGCAGCCTGCAGACGACGTCGAGAAAACCGATGTTCCCGCTAACAAAAATACTTCGGGAGGTATGTATCGATAAATATTAAACCCTCTATATGGATTAAGTTACTGTATGTGTGTAGTATAGCATATATTCTCTTCGGATAATCGGGGCAAACGACTTTTAATGAATACTTTACGTATACAAACACAGTTAATGCATTTCTAATCATGTACAAGGGGAATCAATATAAGGATATATTTTTAATTGAAAATATTTGACAGAACATTTTTGTCTGGTCTTAATTGCCCCGGGGTAACTTCTGTCAACACAAACCATACGTTCTATACTCCTATATATAATAATAATTCGCTGCTCTCGACAGCTTAAAAAGCAAACTTCTATATGATGGGCTTGGATTTCATCATTGCATTTGGTCTTCGTCTAAAACACCTCGTTTTGTTAAACTTTATATAATTGTAGATACATTATACTTCGTTCGGTGTTACGCCTTACGGTTTGATAGATCTGAAAGAATTTTTAAATGCTCGGTTGGAGCCCTATTAAACGTGTTCTTTAGTACATTCTGTACATGCAAACAATGCTAAGCGTTTTCTCTCCTTAGCGTTCTCAAATTCGAAACACGCTTGTTCGTTTTGTGTCCTTGCGCAAATCGCGATTAGTTTTAATCTTCTTTCATGGATTACAACAAGAAGCTTTTGTCTCTGTAGACTGTAGTTTTCTCTACGAGTCTGCATCATAGATATCCAATATATCTATATGGTCTGCATGCACTCATTGCGATTTATTCTTTTAGATAACTGTATAAACTGCCGTAGAAATTGAAAACGTTTGGACTTTCGGGCTACTCGACATTCGAAGCGATTTTTGAATAAAAAAATTTTTAATCTTTTCGGGTAGTTCAAAACTCAGCAGCCTCGGACGCTACCTATATATCAGTACGTCCTAAGTTTATTCACTCACATATATGTCGATTTGTAAATTGGCGTGCAAAAGGCCATATATGTGTTTTGACTGACATGCACGCAAGTATTGCTTGATTTTTAATAGCGTGCCATTTCTGTTTTGTGTTCCAATTTGCGTGTGCGGAAAACAACATTTCGTGGTGGGCTAGATGCATTTTACCATTTAATTCATACAGTTAAAGTATTTTACTATACATGTATATCTAAGGCACACTATTTAACTATTTTGCTCTTTCTAACAACAGATTATATTACTTTGTCTAACACCAGCATATATTGTGCATCATGCGCTTTCAAAAACAAATGAACGCGATCTTTCTTGTTTTACATGTATTTGGTCTTGCATGCAGCCGCAAGATGACTGTAATATCAAACTCTTAGTCTCTCCCAAGAAGTCATACACCAAGCAAATTTACTGTCAGTCTGCAATATTTATGAAGGCTCGGATCCTCCGAGTAATGACTTTTTAAAGCGTTCTAAAATTGGCCGTAAATTGCATTTACTCGGGAGTAAACTTTGTGTTTATAAATTAAAATTTCTTTCTATGAATTGTAAGATCAACGGTTGAAAGCATCGCTATCCGGTAGCGCAGTCTGGTCTTCGATACAAAAGCGTTTTACTCTCGCGCGCAAGGACGATTTTATACTTTGTGTAGCACTAAATTACTAGTCCTACGGGCTGTTTATATGGTCCCGCTTACCCGCGGGATTCAATGAAGTGTGACGTATTTTGAACAATTGAAATAGTATTACTTTATCATCTAACAAAATTGCTTGTTACAAATTGTATGAAATTCCATGTTTTAGACAAAAAAACAAATGTTGTTGAATGCTATTAATCGCCTTCTCCATTAATTATTTAACTTTTGTTTATGGCTGAAGCTGCACGTATTTCAATTGCTCAAAATACGTCACACTTCACTATTGAATCCTGGGTAAGCGGGACCATATAAACATCCCCTTGGCTGTCTATTTTGCAATAAATTTCATAAAAAAAACCATCATTTGCATTGCGAAATGTCGCTAAAAATTATCTTGGGGCATCGCAGTTTTTTTCGCGTTTGACGTCTTATGAGAAAGGTCTATTATTCTTTGTCCAATAGAAAGATGATTTTGCTCGGTCTATACGTCAGACATTTGTACCCTGTCAAACGTGTCACGCATGCATTTAGGCGATTTTATTTGCGAATGCTCTAAAAGTCAAGACTGGGATGATATATGATTAATTTGTAACCTAAGCCTGAAGTTTTGAAGCTCTTTCTTGGATTGATGAACAATGGTTTCTGTAATTTTCTATAAAAAATTAAGCCTTTAATGCTTACCGTCGTGGTCCATTATCAATGTAGCGATTGAACGAAAAAAAATAATAAAATGGTACGCGTTGGACGGTTGGCTCCGACTTTATAAACTTTATAGTCTGCTAAATTATACATTGTTTAGAAGATTTATGTTGAAACGAGTTGTAGTAGATGATCTGTCGACTCATTATTCTCCTTCCTCGCTAGTGGAGGTGTACATTGGTTCGGATTGGACGTTTATAATCCGACAATTGGCTAATGTTTAAAATCCAATCCGAATCCGATCCGAGTTTTGATAAAGAATTCCGATCCGAAGAATCCTTTAATAAAATAAATTTCTCATTCAAGTGGAAATGTTTAACCAAATAATAATTATTATATACAATTAATTCATTTTATTTCGAATATCCGATCCGACCACGAAACAACTTTATCAATCCGATCCAATCCGAAATGAATATTTTTTGTACACCTCTACTCGCTAGTATTCACTTCGTTAAATACCAGTACTCATTGATATTGGTGCCTGCGAGCAAAACGTCAGAACATGCCTGGAAAAGTGCGTCACTTTTTAGGTTTAAAAACTCCTTTTTAGGTTTAAAATCTCATTAACGCCAAATGCGACCAAAACGCCCCCTTTAAATTATTCAATCGTATTAAATGCCGGGCAATCTTATATTTGTAAAACTATTCTCATATTCCCATTTTTAAAGCCAGGCGCACATTCTACGATTCACGCATGAGTTGGTTACGCTCTCATGGTATGTGACATGCAGGCATCATCATTAAATATCCTGCCATTAAAAATCATGAAAGACTGGACTTGAAAATATTGATATTTGAGTCCTTGATCAAACAGCTGCAAACGTCATAATGCATCAGTCAATGTAAACCCCCGGCCCCCTAACCCGGGGCATTAGGCGGGGATTAGATATTTTCGTTTCTAATCAGAGCTAATGCCCCGCCATGTGGAGACAGTTAAAATGGACAAATGCCCCGGCCTGTGGGGCTTTCAGAACCTTTTAAACCAAATTCAATACAAAGTGAAATGCAACACTGCAATACCAAAAAGACAATTTAGTAAACGTGCTTTATATACTATTTAAAGCACGCGTAGGAGTGTTTTATCAGATATAAAACGCGAGGCGCAGCCGAGCGTTTTATATCTGATAAAACACTCCTACAAGTGCTTTAAATGGCTTAAAAAACGACCCATCTTCTGATGAGTACATTAGCGAAGTAATTTTTAAAATAAACTTTGTCTAAACCGAGAAAATCAAAGCTAAAGTTTATGTATAAATTAACATGATTTTTTTATCACATATAAAGATACGACACGCTTATGATTTTTCTTTGTGTTTTGCTCCTGAATTATTAATGAGTTTCTTAAATTCATATTAAATATGGTTATATTTTAAAGTTTATATGAATTGCTTTTGTGTTTTTCTTGCCTATTGCCATAGTTAGATCATGAATATCGAAATATATTTAAACTACCTTTCGAACATGCTTCAACACTCAATGCGTGCATTGTTATCAAAATTTCCATGTGTATCACTGTCTTTATTTGTTTTAATACAAATATTAAATATTACAATATATAACAATAAAAAACAACGTTAATACCAAGGTATGCGTGAGCGAAGAAAGATCAAAATATATAAAAAAATATCGAAAATATCACACACATGCAAACGTCAAGACAAAGCATGTGGTTAAAGCGCTGAGCCAAAGCCAGTATAATAAGGGCTATAGATGAAGTATATACCTCAAATCCATGGTGTCAAATCCCCGCCAAACGCCCCAGTAATTCTAAACGAAGATCTAAATGAACCAAATGCCCTGCTCATGCTTAGGGGCATTAATAAACTGCAAACGCCCGGCTAATCCCCGCATAGCCCCGGGGTGGGGGGGGGTTACATTGACTGGTGCATAACGCAGAAAATTCATGGCGTGGTGTTTTCTATAATTTGGCAAAATTAGTATATAGCATGATCATGAACACCTATATTCTAAATATGGATGAGAATTATTTGAAAAGTAAATGAGTTAAGCAAATCTTCTATATAATAAAGACAACGATTGATTGTTTTTTTATAAGAGACGTTCGTTTGTATTCTGTTTATACATTGAAAAGTATGGACAGAAACAATCGAGCATTCCTTACAATGACTTCACCAATATAATCACCTGAAGTTAATTAGGTCCAAATACACAAGGTTGGAATTTAATTAGGTTAGGTCTAAAATGTATAAAAGTTATACCCGACGTCTCAAAATCATGAGCATCATATTTCGGATCTTTTCCTAGCCAATTTTTGGCTCAGAGCGCAGGAAAACTTACGTATGCGAATTTATAACAATTTTAATAATACAACCATCACCAAGAGCGCGAGCATATTTAATTTAATAATGCGGGCCGAACGCTGATAAGAAACGTCCGTCCGGCTTTTTTTTTTCATTTGACCTTGACGCCATTTGTTCCTTCAGACGAGATAAAAGGTTCCTAAAGACAAAGGACAATAGCGCATGCATACCTTATGCATGATGTATTTAAATTCGCGCGATATTAGAATTTTTGCAAATCTATAAGGTGTCTGAAAAAGCAAAACTGAGCCGCGCGAATAAGTTATAGCTGCAGTAACTGCAGACGAGAAGCACAATATTGATTATTGGGACCATTGGATTAGCCATGCATTACTCCATTAGTGTCGTTGTTTGGCGTGGCTCCATGATTGATTCTGTCTTGCTCATATCTTTTCGTTGAATGAAGAGATGAGCTTTTCTCGAGATCCACTTGCGGCTCACCCGAATTTTCAATATCCATTGGCATTGCCAAATGTTGCCCATCTTTAAGAGCAGATTATTTTGTATGTTGCGCAACACGCGCGCTCAAAGCCAATGCGCAAAATGCCACTTGGCTTATGACTGTATTAACTTTAAAAACCTTTTTGTGATATAGCTACGTTTCTCAAATGTTTCTCAATGTTCAAAGTTCAAAGTAATTTTCAGTCTACTTGCTATAACGATATATGACACCAATTTTAAATCATGATTATAACAGTTGAATTTCAATTTACATTTTGTGTATTTCTAAATGTTTCACAACCGCCAGATGCATTTGAAAAGGTGACTAAGTAGCTTACCTTTTAAACTATAAAATAAAACTAAAGCTAGCAAAGTAATTTTGGAACATATATGCCAACAAGATTTTGGTTTTGAACGCTTTTTCATCGCAATCATGCGCGACATAAAGAAGTATCATCGAAGTGTAAATTTGTAGTTTTGTTCCGCTACGATTAAGCTGCACGAAATCAGCACAACTCCGCCAAAATTAGGCATTTGGTGCGTGACATCTATGTGTGAAGACGTTTAAAAACCTTATAAAAATATTTGCATGAGTCGTTCTATACCTCTATATACAGTTCCTGTTTTGAGATATGATACCGAAATTGGACATATATACTGGTTTGTCAATACAAACATTGTGTGTACTTTATCCACGCAAAGTGCTTAATGGTTAATACGTTCCTTCCTTTTGTTAAATGACGTATGATTATTCCACTTATCTTTCATCTTTTCAACGAAATCTAATTAATTTAATCATCGCTCGAAACATCTTACCCCGTCAAATGCGGTTGACAGAATTGCTACCATATAGCCATAGGGCATGAAGCTGCAATATTGAACCAACATGGTCGAAGCCAATTTTTCAACTGCAATTCAAAATTTCGTTGATAATTCACAAGTATGGCGAGGCTCTTTACATTTCTTTGTTTACGTATCTACCGACGGTTTAGATTGGAAAGTGAAAAAAAAATAATACACCTCGACTGTCTGACAATTGGTACTAAATTTTAATACATGACTATCTATATGATGACTGCTCGCTCAAGTAAACTCATGGTGCATGGGTCCCCCTACGTTGAATAAAATATAAAAGATGCCCCAGATGGCAAACAGTATTATTAGGTCAGACCAGGGACGTAGCAAGACTTCGTTTGGGTTTTTTGGTGGGAGGTTGTAAAGATGCAAAGGAGTTGCTAAATTACTTTTTGCGTTACCTAAAAACATTTTTTTAAATTTAGTGTGGTTTTTTTCATGTTTACATTCAAGTAACAGGTGTAAAATTATAAAAGTTCGAAAGAATAGATTAGAACAATAGGATATGGGGATAAAATTGCTAACTTTCTCTCCCTCTTAACTTCCGCATTTGCCAGTTAATGCTCTCGTAATTTACCTAAAAATCTGAAAGAATCACCTAGAAATTCACCTGAAATTATTCATGAACTAATATTATTATTATTGTGGGGGGGCTGTCGCTACGCAATATACTTAAACTGATCCTGGTCCTAATTGTTCTCAAAGTGCCTAGAGTATGATAGGCGCTGTGGACGAGGTTGAGCCGTTGGACCAAAATGTTTACCAATGAGAATTTTCCATCAAATCTATCTAATAATAGGTATGTGTAACAACAGTGATTAATCTTCATTGATATGCTTGTGCCTCTATTGATAGCTCGTCCTATATACTAACAGGATAGCATTTTGGCACGGAAACTATTACTTACGTATTGTACACGCCTATATGCACACAATTTGGCAATATTGTACTTCATTCTCGTTCTTCGCTCCAGGCATTCCGGATGGGTGAGGTGTTGTTGGACATTTCATGACGTCATTACAACTAAAGATTAATACATGAATATTTTCTTAATTTGCAAATCTAACCTTATTAGCTGGTTTGAAATGTTTAATTCGTGGTGCATACCTGAGATTTCGTTCATCAATTATAAAAAAGTGTGCTTGGTTCAGATTATCGTAATTTTGTGGCACGCTAAAATTCGTTGGCTGCGGTGGGGTTTTTTTATGCGTGAGCAATAATGATCTGGAGTTCACAGTCAATACATACATTCCTGCTCTTGCAAAAAATTTACATAAGTAGCTACGAGAAAAAAGAAAATGCGAAACTAAAATTTCCTGTTATACGGAAATTCTGAGTCGCATGTGATATGCGCACTTTATATTTGCATAATTAGTGTATGCAGGGCAACACCGCGGAAAAAAAGTACACGCATGTGCCAAACCTGAACAATGGCGGCCAATTGAATCCAATTTTCGAAACTAAGACATGGCCATTTACTCATTCGAAAGTGAAAGTGTGAAACAGACAAAAGAATATAGAAGACGGTTAGACTATAACATTAATTTTAAACCGTAAGAAGAAATAGAAATTAACCAAAACATCTCATGTTTGAACAGGTGGTATATATCGAAAAATTTATATCAATCACCGATAAGCAAATTCTCAAGAGTATAATGCCAGGTCATAAATCATCGAGGAAATTATGAAAATGAATTTGTTTCAACGCAAAAGTTGTTGACGCTACGCTAAAAAAGATATTGCAAAAAAAAATATGCCCGAACCTACGAGAAAAAATGTCCTTGTAAATGTACCAGCAGTCACCTTTGGTTCATTTTCATGCGTGATACATTTCTGAACTTTTAGACTATAATTATTGGCATCAACTATTTCGCTGACCTCAGAATGACATTTCGTCAAACTTTTTTCTTCAAGATTGGTTTAGAAACAAATTTGGAGTAGGGTTACGGTTAGAGTAAGGATTAGGGTTAGCCGGTTAGGGTTAGAGTTTGTGTTTGGAGTAGGGTTAGTGTTAGTAAAACCGTTGCTTTGTTACGTTTTGTCACTCTGAGGCCAGGGAAATAACCTCTTCCATAATTATTTATAGGCAGACAAGAGAGTCACTCCGCCATTTTGAGTCTACGACAATCTTCGGAACACTTTGATATCACTTGACATCAAGTTTGCAATGCAAATCCCAGTAAAAACGCACGCGCAGACGTATTCCCGCGGTGTTACAAGGACATAATGTTACAGCCAAATCGTAGTACTTGGAGAGACAAGTGTGGAAAATATCATTGGCCTTTTGGCGATTGTGGCTGTAATAGATATTATACATCGCTAAATATAAATCTGCGGTAGAATATTCTCTTGGCTAACAGCCATATTAGATTGTTGTGTTCCTCCCATGTCTCCTAAACTTTTTGACATGGCCGGCATAGGTGGCAGGGCGTAGTGTTAAGTCATAGTGTAACTTGATAGGAAATACAACACGGCTGCATTCATGAAATATCTCTGTAGTGTGAAGCTGAAGCACGGCCACGGGGTATAGGTATAAATATTTGTAGTTGAACAGAAAGCAATGATGATCCCTGTCGAATTGGGCATGGAATATTAATTACACCGATAAAAAATTATTGAAATCAAGCTAAAATCGATTGTCACTAAATATAAAATTTTTGTTGACAAAGCAAATATTTTTAAAAAAATGCATCATAGCAGATTAAAAGATAATGCCTTATGGTAAAATCAATATTTAGCGAATTAAAAAGCCCATAATTATAGTTCTCACTGCAATTACGCAAGCATATTAAAGCTAGTCCAAGCATAAATAAGCTAAGGATATAAAAGGCAACGATGTATTTAGCTATTTAATAAAGTAGTATAATACTAATAATCTTTGTTGAAAGGTCTTGTAAGATGGAAATTATCGAGTGTAATTTTATATACAGCTATTGTACCTGACCAGGAACAGCTGCGAAAATTCAACTATACGTCCCTGACAAGAGGGTGTTGATGGGGTATATCGTGAGTCGTGATTCACTCAATAATTTCGGTTCCGTCAGTCGTGAAAATACCAAAAATGTACCGTGAAGTGTGAGGGAAAAAATACTGTTTGTCGTTTCAGAACACTTTTCAAAGATTTACCGTTAAAATACCAAAGTGTTACCGTTAAAATACCAAAATTTTTACCGTTTACTGATTTTCAAACCCGCGCCCTTCTAGATCCTCTGACAAGAATCGAACTTGCGGTCCTGCGATTCCAGTGCGCAGCGCTTTAACCATGCTGAGCTGCAGATGCCAGTTGTCGGGCTTTAACCACTGCACAAGTTCATGTATATATATATACTAGGGTACTGCCATGTATAGGGTATATGCAGTGAGATGTCAAGAAAATCTTAATAATAATCTTAGTTTTCCTCCACATTAATTTAAATTCCAATCAAACGAGGATGAGAGTTGGTAGTCACGTCCGTATTGTTACAGGGGACATTTCAAGCTCTAGATTAACAAACTAAAACAGTAAAAGGTTTGATACATAGATCATAGTAGCTCGCTACAGCCTACAACGACATAAACATAAGGATTAAGGAAAAGAACACAATGCCAATGGGAAATTGTACTGGGACTGGGAATGACATAAAAATCAAGGTAATTTCCAATAATTTTGTATAAACCATAATTCGGTTTAATCGTTTTCAAAAATTCTTAAGTCTGGTCAAACGCATTGATCGAGAGCAAATTTAGTTCAAGTGAATAGACGATTGTTCTACACTGACACTGTACTTGGCATAATACTCACTTATACTCCAATCGTGAACCAATCATTTGAATGTTCCATGCGCATGGTCTAAATTCAATGCAAACATGCGTCCTGAGTATTTTGACCTAAAATCGTAAAATAAAAAAATTTAAAAAAAATTTTGACTAGAATTGACTCAAATTTATGAGCAAATTTTTTAGTTATTTCAAATTTAGTCATGAGTCAAAATCTTTGTAGTGTTGCTTTGGAAAGGAAGGTTATTTCGTTGGGCTCAGAGTCACAAAACGTAACAAAGTAACGGTTTTACTAACACTCACCTTGTTTCTAAACTAATCTTGAAGAAAAAAGTTCTGACGAATTAAATGTCATTCTGAGGTCAGCGAACTAACTTTTCCCTTTGCAAATCCTATATTGTTTGTGTGACGTTTATGCAAAGACAAGGGCCTTTGTGTTGCATGTCGGATGAATATCTCATCAAACCTCAATTATCAAACATGTTTTCAATATTCTGCGTGTTATTTTACAACGTGGGTCCTTCGAGATATTTTTAAATCCGTACAGATGGGACATTCTGATGAAAGCCCGAAGGCGCAGATGAAGTGTCACAATTATTTTTACAATATCGACCTTTTCTTTCTAATCAATTCACCGCAAACCACAATTCATTTAAACCGCGCGGATATAAACAATCAAACATTATAACTATTAAATACGACAATAATATTACAGCGTGGCTGATGTGGTCGCGTGACTAATACTGTAGATTATAACAAACTAATAATCAAAATGAAGCTAATTTGACTCACTATTAAATATAAATTAATAAAAAAATTCACATGAAAATCACATTACTTGACAACACAGACTCGCAGTAACACACAACTGTCACAACACTTATAAGCAAATGATCATGACGGTTTTGTCAACACGAACGTCACCCGAACTTGGTGTAACTAATTTTGGGGGTATGTTGCATCATAGGGACATATAGCCTACCGTGTAGACCCCAGCAGAAACACGTGGGTCTACACCGTAGGCTAAGGGACATGGCGCTCGTGTAAGGAAGCTAAAAGCTATAAAATTCTTATGTTTTGTCATATGTTATGCAAGGGTGGGTTGTAGCGAAGTAGTTGTAGTTCGCTACTGTAGCGAACTACAATTTTCAAGTATAGCCAGTAGTTTTTGACTACTTTTTTAAAACAGTAGTTGTAGTTATAGCGAACTACATTTTGCCTAAAGTAGCCAAGTAGTTGACTACTTTTCAAACAGCGAATCGCTATTCGCTACTTTTTAAAATTGTTAGCAACTTGATAGAATAGCGCCATGATATTGAAACACAGTTTGCTTAAAATCAGTACTCAATAGTCAATTTGCACTCCTGAACACTGTAGTGCTTACAAAAATGTTGCTTTGTGTTTACTGTTGGCTGTTTGTCGATTTTTTATAGATTACATTACAGCCTGAGTTAGTAGATGCTCCAAATACAGTAAAACTAAAAAAGATATAGCGTAGCGAAATAGCGAAATAGTTCGCTACATTTTTTAAGCAGTAGCTGTAGTCAGTAGCGAACTACCTTTGTTCAAAAGTAGCAGTAGTTGTAGCTGACTACATATTTTTGAAGTAGCTGTAGTTATAGCGAACTACAAAACTTTTGTAGTCAACCCACCCTTGATGTTATGACGATTACCACAAACTATAACCAAAATACAGTTTTTAATTCAGTCCCCCCTCGGCAATCTTGACGAAAACGTCGCTTGCTCATGTATGATATAAACGGATTTCTGGAACGAAATTTACAAACCGCTATGGACCATGGTACTCTTAAGTGTACATTGACAAATAATACGACTATCTAATAGCCTTTCTCACGGCCGATTTTCTCGGCCCCATTTTTAGGATACTGGCTCTCCCATGCTTGAGAGTCTTCGCACCACGAAATACAAATTTTTAGTAATTGTAGTTATTCGGTGTAATGCCAATAGATTTACAGTTAGAACTTTTAAAAGTCGCTTTTTATGTTGTTTGTATTATGATTTGATCATGGTTTATATTTTGTTTCAAGTTTTATTAAGACACTATTTATTAGACATATTGGACTAATTAGTTTTAGCCTCGTTTTGTCTTGCTTCCAAATTCTCTGTGACTGATGATTATACTTATAGTCATGGAGTCAGATTTTTGGAAGCAAGACAAAATGAGGCTATATTTGGATTCGGCGAGACTGCAAGCATTTTGCTTATAAAAATTCCCCACAAAACCGTTTTTAATAGTTAATTCCTAATTATTAAAAGCAGTAAACTAAAAAAGGAGAATATATATTAAACCGAAATAAAACTTGTCACTATATATACAAACTAAATGTAATTTAGGGGAAAATAGACAATGTAAATATCTATAATTGGCGAAGTTATAGTAACATACAGCCAATTCAGAAATGGATGTCCTTTGCAAACCTTAAACTCCAAGCGCGCAAAGCGTATAACGGGAGCACAAGTTTCAAGCTTAGTTTAATATTGCAACTATTTGTGAATGAATTGTCCTCGTAAGGAGATATTTACCATGTCTCTAAGAAATGGGCCAGTTTAGAGTTTAAGGTTTGCAAAGGACGACCTTTTTTCAATTAGCTGCATGTATATATGCAAGAAAAACTAGCAAAAGAAACAAGAACGAAGAAAGCATCACGGCAAAAATTTAATTAGGTCTATTAATTTCGCAACAACATAGTCAGATAGTCATGACTGAGAAACTGCATGAATGCATGCCATGCATTATAATCATTGTTGAATTGGATGAAAAGTAAACAGGAAAAGTCTATATTTACAATGAGTTTAGCACAATTTAATATTTATCCAACACAAAGAGCGGCTTCAGTCTTCCGACAATATTCATTAATTGTTATTTGTTCTCCTAATTTATATGTTAGCATATAATATTTGTTGTGTTTTGGCATGAATATTGTTAGCAATTATAACCAATTTGGCAATTGTGTGCATAACACTATAACAGCTATTGATGCGTGGATATTTGCGATAAAAAGCGTTCAAAACTTAAAAAGTAAAATCGTTTTGGTGCATGCATGTATAACCTCTCAAAATTACCGTCTAGACTATAGTTTTCGCTTTATTCTCTATACTTTTAGTTTATACAATTAGCTACCCTTTATTAAACACATGAATCTGCATGCCGGTTGAAAAGCATAAAATAATACCTTGACTTCAGTCGTCTCAAATCTCAGCATGTTTACAGACTATTGTCGCTGCGGCAAGGCGGCAAGTGACTTAAGTTTTCGGGTTTTGGTAGGTCACAAATTGGAACAATTCATGTAAGCCTGTGGCTTGCCATTATTGGGATATCAAAATGGTGGAAGATATTCGCAGATCTCTTAATTTAAAATTATAGGTATTTTTTGCCTCTAAATTGTACATGCAACCCAACATTCAACAATTATCCGCGAGAAAAACAATCGTTTGTACAACTAAATAATCCAACAAAAGCCATGCCGAAACGAAACAAACGTCGCCAACAATGCAATTTTACGAGTCCCTGAGTCAACAGAGCGGCAGAACTATACATCACCAAGTTGTTTTTTCATACTTGTTAGTTTTTAGCGCGTGTTATCTGACATGCAAAAAATCTGCTTGGAAACTCTCTCCTCCGCAGAGGCTTTAGTTGGCTATGATTAGGATTAGTATTGAAGATGGAACCAGCGGCTCTGTTCGTGTTCCAAGAACCGCCTATGGTGAAATGTATCTCAAAACTAATCGCAATCATGCATAGCCAACTAAAGCCTCTGCGGAGGAAAGAGGCTTGGAAACACTAGCTCGTGCGTGGTTGTTATTCTACGCACATGTGACCTAATTTAAAAACCTAGTAACATAACATTGTCATGATATTTTTTGTGTGTGTTTTGATGTTATGTACTCAGGTGAATTAATGTTTTTGATGTCACTCTGAGTGTATATCGCGGGTTCGATTCCCACCGTGGTTAGGCTAACTTTTCAGCCTGCCCGATGTGGATATACACTCAGAGTATAACATCAAAAACAATAACGTTGTCATTTAAGCCCCGTTTACACTACGCTCAATTTTTGGTACGGCACGGATAAAATTGGTACCCGTACCACTTTTTTGGTTCTTGGACTACCTATATTTTGAGCCCTGTTTACACTACACTCGATTTTTGGTACCGTACCAAATAGGTAGCCAAGAACCAAAAAAGTGGTACGGGTACCAATTTTATCCGTGCCGTGCCAAAAATTGAGCGTAGTGTAAACGGTGCTTAATGTAGCAATAATTGGTCTTTTCAGTCATTCTCTACGTTTTAACTTGAACCATTGGCATTGCACAATACTACTTTGCAACATTGGTATAACTTATACTCCACCATGAACTTATACTCCACCTTCTAACATATCTGAATATTTTATGTCTTTTATATGTAAAGGGTGCTTTTATCAATTGGGATTTATCCTGTTACGGCATCCTATCACTATGTTTGTTACACTATGTTATGTATGTGTAACATTGTGACAAACTTATTAAATTACATTAATGCCAATGGTATGTTCAATCGTTTATTAATATTTATCACAACTAATCCCTAGCTCTCTTCTACTTCTAGTTCACATAACAGATTTAAGAGTGGTCAGGGTTCAACAAAGGCCTTTCGACAAGAAATATGAATATATTTTCGAGGTATGGTTATTATAGTATTGCGATAGTATGTATGATAATAATTGGAACTGAATAAGATCCGAAGCCAATTAACCAAATGCGAATACATATTTGATTTTGAAAATAACACGACAACTATAATTCTTAGTCCTAAGTAGAAAATATTTTTTCCTGATGCATTCATAAGTAGCTCATTAATTTTTTAGTGTTTTGCCGGGTTGTGAGTGGGGGGAAATTTTTATATTTCCACCTCTACGTGCGCATTCGAAAGTTCTGGAGACAGAATTCGGTATCAATTATTAATCATCGACGAAATTATCGCGAGGCTTCAGGCAACGGCAGAAAGCATGTCTGGACTTGCCCGATGTCAATGAGCCACAAACTAAGACAAGGTGGCCATGTTTGGTCGTAAAAGATAATCCAATATTATACTGTATATTCTAGGATAATCGTCTTTCAATAAGCGGATCGGTAAAGCATTGTGGAATAGACCACCCCATCGATAGCAGTGTCACTACTGTTTATCATCGCTTAAACCGTTGCTGGAAAATTCTCTTTTGAACCAAACACTGCATTTATATTGGTTTATCTTCCAATAGACACTTTTCGAATTTACTGCCTGTTGGCAATAACTTTATTTACAATGGATAACATTAGTCGCCTCGATTTCAAGCTGTTGTTTCGTGTGCGCTCAATTCTGAAGTGTCCGGTCTTTATTATTCGCCTCAGGCTCGACGAAGTCGAGGTGAATATTCCCCAATAATTACCGAGGCTGAGGCGAATAATTGTTTTAGTATTTTTACACAGGTCTTTTGCGTTTTGGGGGACTGAATTTATTTTAATTTTGCTTATTTCTTTATCAGTAACTCCCACAAAATGTCTAGCCGCCATTTTGCAAATTTCGATTTTGTTATATTCACCTGTAGGTGAATATAACAGCTTGATACGTCAAATTTGACCAATGAACTTGTAGGATTTGTATATATTCACTTGTGCAAAAATACTAATGATTTATGTTCACTCTCAGTACTCTCAGTGGTTGTTAGACAACTCTGAGGTTTTCTCGGAATCCCACTTGTGCATGGAAAGATGAATTCCAAAAACACGCCAAGAAAAAATCTCGCTCACAACACATGCAACACTACGCAAATAATATAACATGCGCTGTCAGACTTTGTAGCGAGTTGAATATAAGAACAAAGTTGTTTTTTTAGGTAACGTGGTCGAATGGCAAGGTGTTCAGAATTCATCGCGCATACGGAGAATTATTCGACTTTCAATGCAAGGTATACATAAGCAGCAAAATTATTATAAGACAATCCGTGATGTCGGCCACTGCGTATCCAAATGACACATTTTGCGTCAGGATGCAAAAGTGGCAGAATCTGGAAGATTTAAAATATGCGTATCAAAGTATTGAAATGTTAGTCACCTATTCAATGCATTTAATACTAGCGTACTTTTAGTTGGAGTAAAGTGCACTTAGCGCTTAAGTTGGAGTAAAGTGCACTTAGCGCAAAAGGAATTAGCGCTTCTCCCATTGGTTCATTTGCGTAATCGATTAATCGGTATCAACAGTTGATTAACAACATGGATTAATCAGATTGGATAAATCTAGTATATGCCCAGTGGTTAATGTCGCTTTCAAGAAAGGGGCACGTTTTAAAATCTTTATTTGACGGTCAAAGAGTGCATGCGCTATACTGGTAACAGAGAAATAAAAACAAGTCGCGTTTGTGGTTTAATTACATACCACCTCCTCGTATTTTTTTTCAATAGGGAAAGAAAGTTATCATGCCATGCTTGGCTGCTGTTTTGTTGATTCGATTATTGTTAAGAGTAATGAACTGTCAAAAATATCGATCAATCAGAGCGCTCTATTAGAAAGGAACGTATTTTGTATAATTTGAAGCGAGTGAAGCGTGCAAATTGTTATCGGGATCGAATTGGTTCATTATCGTGTTTAAATAACAATGGTATCTTTGTTACTAGATCATAGACAACTATATTTAGCGACCTATTTGCAGTTGCATGCATGCCTCTATTTTTGTATAGAGCTCAAAAGGATAAGATTTAAATTTAGCGGCATATAATAGGCTGTGATATAGAACATTGGATACGGATATAGCTGTTTAGCTACTGCGTGTTGTGCGCACTAAACTTACTATGCTGCGCAGTGTTGAACATTAATAATTACTTGAAATTTTGTTCTGGTACGTATTGAACTGATATATTGGCTTACAAACATAATATAATTAACGTGCTTCTAAGAATGATGACGAGGTCCAACAGCTAGAGATATTCCTTGGTAAAAACATTAAACCGTAGCCTTCATTTACTATAGGGATTAAGGTATTCCATAACTTCACAAATTTCATCTATCACTGCACAAATTGGTTATCAATGCACCCTAAAATAATCCCTGCGAGGATGAGCGAGTTGATTGCGCACTTTCAAAGACATGAGTTATTCATTATTTGTTTCTTATCTAGCTTCGCCGCCGTTTCTCTAAAGAAATAAGCAAAATGACGGAAAGAAAGGTCATTCCTTATCTTCCAGGTTGGTGTATAGTATATATAGTCTATAGAGATTATTTAACAAATAGGTAATATTTTGCCGTTGTCTGTCCAGTTATATATACACAGTGTGACGTCGAGAGGGTCAACTTTTTTGTTAAGGTTTTGTGTGACGTAGTTCCGTGCGTCTGTCTTTTAATAGATCATTGCTCTCGACCAATGAAAGCGTTTGAATTCTTAACGTTATTATATAAA